CTAGCTGACTTAAACACCTAAGTTAGGACTAGAACTCACCGTCTCCTGGTGATTGGCCCAAAGTCATCCATTCAGTTTATCTGCCTAAGGCAGGACTAGAACTCACCATCTTCTGGTGATTGGCCCAAAATCACCTAGCTGGCTTTCATGCCTAAGGTGGGACTAGAACTCCCAGTCTCCTGGTTTCTAGACCAGCACCTCCACCAATCCACCAAACTGGATCTGCTGAGTTCAGGATATTCAGTAGGTCTAGATTTGATTGCTGCCATAGCCTCAAGCCACATTTGCAGCCTTTCGACCCCGTAGTTCTCTTTCTGCAGTTAGTTGTGGTTCTTTAATGAACGCACACACAAAATACGTTTGATGGCTCTATCCGCTCCTTCTCTTTGAGAAATTGTACAGGCTGAGCGGGAGCCAGCAGAACAAAGAGTTACCTGGCCTTCTTGTTCCCTCCTTGGCTACTGCAGTGAGGTCAGTTTTTTGAAAACAGAAGGAGAGATCTTTAGCTGCCTGCAACTTGGGAACTCACAGGTGGCGGCTTGCCAAAGTTTGAATCTTAGCTTCTTGGAAGATGTGAAGGTATTAGCTGGCCTGGCATTTGGTAATGGGAATCCTCCATGGATTGAATGGGGAGCATTTTCCTCTAGCAATCCTCCATTCACTTGGCTCATTGATCTCGTGAAGGCAGCTCCAGATGGCATGGTTTTTTTTTTTCCAGTCCCGATTCATTCCAGGAGTATTAGAACTGACGGTAGAATCATCTTTATTTCTGTGATCTTCAATGGCTGGGAACAGACATTAGATCACAATGTTCCTTCCAGCTGAGCATCTGACGGGCGCAAAAGTTACCATCCAGGCAATTCTCCTGTTTTCACAGCTGCAGCAGCTCCTGGAGCAGGGTTTCTCAACCTTGGCGGCTTGAAGTGGTATGGACTTCAACTCCCAGAATTCCCCAGCCAGCCACAAGCCCGACACGAGTGACGTCGAGCTGGCCACACCCACCATGACCATGCCGACACACACACACACCAAGTTCAAACACAACCCTGATGTGGCCCTTGATGAAATAGAGTTTGACATCTCAGTCCTAGGTAAACACTAATTCTGATACTGATCGAAGCCACATCTGCCCTAAAATTTTCTTTATACCAGTAACTGTTTTAAAGGTAAAGGTAAAGTTTCCTCTTGCACATACGTGCTAGTCGTTCCCATCTCTAGGGGGCAGTGCTCATCTCTGTTACAAAGCCAAAGAGCCAGTGCTGTCCAAAGACGTCTCCGTGGTCATGTGGCCGGCATGACTAAACGCCTTCGAAGGCATACAGAATGCTGTTCCCTCCCCATCAAAGTGGTCCCTATTTTTCTACTTGCATTTTTACATGCTTTTGAACTTCTAGGTTGGCAGAAGCTGCTGGGACAAGTAACGGGAGCTCACTCCATTACACGGCGCTAGGGATTCGAACCACTGAACTGCCAAGTTTCTGATCAACATGCTCAGCTTCTTGGCCACCGAGCCACCGCGTCCCCAAGTAACTGTTCCAGATCTTCCTAAATATACTTGATGCCCCTGATCTGGGCCTGATTAAGGAAAAAGTACAAGGGACGGTTCCACTGTGTCTTTTATTTGGAATCATAGATGCAATAACCTTGCCTGAGGCCTATCTAATCCCCTGTTGCAGAAGAAAAGTCGTATTTTCACGGATGGTGCCGGAGCTCGTAACTGGCTTCCTTCAAAGCTGCAATAACAGTTTAACAACTGTGAGGAAGAACCTTTATTGTGGAAGCATTAAATGTTTTTGCCTAATGATTGAAAATAATAAAATCCTAGCCTTTGACAGTTAAGAGAGCATTAAAAGAAAATAGACGGGCTGGCATATAGGCAGAGTCTCTTGTCCCAGAGGATCGACTAAAGGCAGGACAAGAAACCACGGATGGAAACTCATCAAGGAGAGAAGCAACCTAGAATTAAGAAGAGACTTCCTAACAGTGAGGACAATTAATCAGTGGAACAGCTTGCCACCAGAAGTTCTGAGTGCTCCATTATTCTGTTATTCTTTAATCTTATATCAATTAATCAGTGGAATAAGTTGCTTGCAGAAGTTTTGGGTTCTGCAACATTGGAGGATTTTAAGAAAACACTGGACAGGCACTTGTCTGAAATGGTATAGTTCTCCTGCTTGGACTAGAAGACCTTCCAGCTCTATTCTGATTGATTGACTGCTGTTTATTTATATTTATTTATATAAGGAAAGTTTGGTAAAAAGTTTGGGAATATTGTCAAACTGAAAATTCTCTCTCCTTCTCTAGAAGCCTAGAGTTAAAAGATTTGCTGAGGTCACTAAATCCAAACCTTCTACGGTAGAGATTCTCATTCTTGGTCATTTTTAAGATGTGTGGACTTCATCTCCCAGAATTCCCCAGCCAGCATGCTGGCTGGGAAATTCTGGGAGATGAAGTCTATGTATCTTAAAATGGCCAAAGTTGGAGAAAACTGTTCTATGGGAATATGCATGAAAACATCCCGAGCAGCACTTTGTCCAGTCACATCCAACAAGAAGAATTCAGCAGTTCACTTAAAGTTATATTATTTATTTTAAATTGAGGCCTTCCAGATATTTTGAATCTTCCCTAATTTTAACTATTGGGGTTTATTGAGGTGGCAAAATAGCTAGAGAATTCCTATCCTATCCTAGTCTAAAATTAGAGATTGTCTATTCTTATTTAAACAAACTGGTTTCATAAACTAAAATAACCCAAGTTTTTAAAATTATGGTTTGTTGAATTTGTTACGGTTGTCTGGAACTGCAAAATAGGCAATACCAACAATTGAAGTGGAAAATGCTTGAGTTTGCAACTTTGTACAACACACGAGGACAAAGGCTGTGTGCAAAAAGTAATATATAAAACCCCAAAATACACATTGTGGCTTAGTAGGTAAACCAGGTTAGAGCGTAGCCCTCTTCTGCACAGCAAGAATGTGAAACAAACAGCATTCAGAATAGCATCCACATTTAAGCAAACGTATTTAAGAAGGAATGGAAAACAATAAAAGTGAGGCAATATAGAAGGAAGACTATTTTCATTGTTCTCACTTTTCTTTTTCAGGGGGAAGTGCTGACTTTTTAAAAGAAAAGTAATAGATATGGTCTGGCAATCTAACGGCTCGTATACAACTTTCCTCTAACACAATCTGGATGTGTCCCCACACAGGAGCCAGTAAGCATTCGACGAAATGGGAGAATCATTTTATCTCATTGAAAAATGGGACTGGAGAGTATAACTCTGCTTTCAAGATTAGCTTGATGGATTGTGAAGAGGTGTACGCTCATGTGCCATTTCTGGAGTTCCTCTGTGTAAAAATAGAGCCCAGCCCATTGTTAATGCTTAGTTACACAGCAAGGATGGGAGAGTGAATGAAAAAGCCATTAGCTTTGCATTTTGTCAAGGAAAAACGGGTGGCTTTTTTTTTTTAAATAAAAAGACAGCTCATCAAGAATTACGTGTCTGGCAATTCTGAGACGGTTCCCAGGAGCATTTTTCCCTCTATGCCATGTGAAATATGTACTGCTTTGCAGTGCGTATTTTACCATTTTTAACACCCTTAATGTACCTTTAATTTACTGCTCATCTTTCTTGTGATCTGCAATCTTCAACAGAGCACACGCATATTAATTTCAGTGACATACCGGCCATGGTAGATAATAATAATAACAACAATAGCAACAATAACAGCAAACCGTACCCGCGATTTATTTAAAAAAAAAAGATTGCTCTTTTTAGGCTGATTTAAGGATCGATAGCGATTTGGGGGAATAGCCCTGACCGGAGGGGTTGCGACTCATCACCAAAACGATTTTCAATTTTCTTAAAAAAGGGAAAAAAGTTTATGCATTCATCAATAAATAAATACATATTAAAAATATAAATATTTTAAAAATATATTAAAACATTTGTGCATGCAATAAATTATATAAATACATAATTTATTATATATATATTTCATATATATGATAAGAATTTTATATATATATAGTCTAGGTGTGTTCGGGTCTTTTCCCGTGTAAGATGAATAGTAAGATACTCTTAATGTTACACGGGAAAAGACCCGAACACACCTAGACCTACATACCTGTACC